AAAAAATTAGCCACACGTGCTTATGGCACGGCGCACTAAAAAAAAATTCTGGCTCAAAACATTAATTGAAATTTATACGTTACTACCAGCCCAGAAGGGCTAAAGAAACTGGAGGCAAGTTTAGCCGATGCCAATATACAAAAAAATTAACATGATACAAATTTAGTGGCTGTTTGAACGGAACGCGCGGTAATGATGTGCGGGTTAGTTACTCTTCGTTTCTGGAGTATCTATATTATGCAGTAGAAAGAAGTAGGGAGTGGACTGTATAAATGAGTAAATGTATTGAAAGAATATAAAACAATGAACTGTATTTTTAATATAAACTAAAATATTATATATATTAATGTGGGTAGGGGGGCCCTTAATGCTAATGCAACAATGCGTCAAATAGAACAAATAATAAGATAAAAATAAGACGAAACAATATAATTAATAACTACTTATCTATATTGAAGATGACTGGTTAATGCGAATGAAATCATTGGCATGACCATTGAACAAGAAAAAATGTACTGTCGTGAACAGTATCGCTATATTATGAGTATTAGTGTATGAGCGTATTGCAAGGGCGATAAAACAATAACGCACAAAGGTGTGACAATCACAAGGGCGATATATAAGCGTTTTTAACAACTACGGGCTCGCAAGCACCATAGAGCCATACAACAAGACGAGCTAGGATGGCAGCGAAAACGCAAAAAAAAATGTCACACAAGGATGGATAGTAACAAAGCGAGTCACAAGAATCACGCACGTAATCCAACAACGTAATGAATCGCTCACACAACCGGTGGTGGTAGTGTGAAAGACGTTATCAGTCATAAAAATAAGATGAAACAAAACGACCTCTCGTAATGCGTATCCAACAGCGGCCATTCACGAGAAAAACAATTTGTTTTAACGCACATAACTTAAAAAAAAACACACCGCTACGGACGAAAATTAGCGTATCAGTTCCGACTATGGCTAATTTCCGACAAAACGTCCGTCGTTTGACCCGATGACAACAACCTGGCTAGTCTTTAGAGTCGGATCAATTTTTACTAATCAGTGTCGGAAATTATTGAGAATAGTTTGAATAAAAAAAATATCGTTAGGTGACAATGTAGGTGGTGAGCAGTGCAAAGGACGTTCAAGATAGAAAAGGAGTGGTGTGAGTGTACACACAAATGCCGTCCATGAACCGGTCTGAAGTAGTACACAGCTGACCATCTCGCACGCGCACTAACAAATCACAACACCTTATCAAGATTATTTAAATGATAAACGCCGTCGCAGCATGCATTCACGAATAAAACTTAGAATACACACACATATATATATATATATGTACAAATAGACAAACATAATTTCTGATTATGCGCGTGTGTGTAATTATTCAAAATTATTCTTTGCAAATAGTTTTATCATTATTTTAAATGTTTATCATTTAGGTTATCAATTTGCGGGCCCTAGAACATGGTTAGAAAAGAGATTGAAGCGAGGTGACGTTGGGGTGAACCCTCTTGATGCTGCTTGCCGCAATCACGACATCATTTATAGTAAATACAAGAATCTCGACTTTCATAAAGCGGATAAGGTATTATAATGGACCACCGTTGGAACTGCAACGATACTTTAAAGAATGCACAACTATAGTATATATCAAAATTTCAACGAGATAAATTGTGGTCACTTGTGTTTGAAATTTTTAATGGAACAGCAACAATGTGGCAACAACGGTGATGTTAATCAGCGTGGGATCTGAATTGCAATGCATGTTCAATCCACCCATTGATGTCGACAAAAAATGTAAAATTGGGCTACTGAGCTTGCATACGTGGAACACTATACCGAATATTGACGAGGATTGTAACAAATTCATTTTCTGCACTGTTGACGAGCCAATTATGGCGAAACACTACCGACGAGATCGTATGAATTTGACAATCTACAGAAACGAATCACGGACAAGTACAACGGAGAAAAGTACAAGTACAGTATGCAAAAACAATTAGATTTTGATAATCCATTGTTGCCAACGGTTGGTTCACTCAAAGAAAACAGCAGTGAAATCGGTGACAAAATGTTGGGTGATCGAAACGTTATTTCTTTTACAGCTGATCGCAATATTATGCGAAGCATAATCAAATGCAATCAATCCATAGATATTACATACCCGCAATCAATCAAGGAGGAGTAACAGAAGATTTTCGGGTAAGAATAGGAGTGCACCAAGGTTCTGCTTTAAGCCCTTACTTATTTTTTATAGTGATGGATGAAATTACTAGGAAAATACAAGAAAAGGTGCCGTGGTGCATGTTGTTTGCTAAGGATATAGTGTTAATAGAAGAAAATAGAGAGGAAATTAATGAATGGCTATAGGTATGGAGATAAGCTCTTGAAGAAAAGGGTTTAAGAATAAGTAGAAGTAGACAGTAGACAGATTATATAGAGTACGAGTTTGACAAAGGAGAACACAAGGTAGGTGAAATAAGGAGATCAGTGACAATAGGCGAGGGCATAATAGGAGAGTTGGAAAGTTTTAAGTATTTAAGATCAGTTGTGCAAAAGAGCGGTGGTATTGACGAGGATTAAAGAACATGATTAGTACGGATGGTTGAGGTAGAGAGAAGCGTCTGGTGTCTTGTAAGATAAAAGAATTCCAATGAGGCTGAAAGGTAAATTCTACAAGACTGTAGTGAGACCTGTCATGATGTATAGTTCAGAGTGTTGAGTGATTGACAAGACAGTAGAGCAGAGAATGAGTGTAGCAGAGATGAGAATGCTTAGATGGATGAGTGGTTTGACTAGAGAAGATAGGATAAGGAATGAACACATAAGAGGAATTATAGGTGAGTATAGTAGCGTCAATCGTAGATAAGATGAGNGTAGCAGAGATGAGAATGCTTAGATGGATGAGTGGAGTGACTAGAGAAGATAGGATAAGGAATGAACACATAAGAGGAATTATAGGTGAGTATAGTAGCGTCAATCGTAGATAAGATGAGAAAAAATAGACTTAGATGGTTTGATGTTATCAGGAGAGAGAAATCGTAAGCTGTAAGAACAGTATAGAAATGAATATTGAAGGAAAAAGAGGTAGAGGAAGACCAAAAAAGAGATGGAGAGATGTTATTGAATGCGATGTGAGAACAGCTGATGTGAGCGTTGAAGATGTGGAAGATCGTGTCAAGTGGAAGTTTAGGATAAGGGTGGCCGACCCCAAGNTATAGAAATGAATATTGAAGGAAAAAGAGGTAGAGGAAGACCAAAAAAGAGATAGAGAGATGTTATTGAATGCTATGTGAGAACAGCTGATGTGAGCGTTGAAGATGTGGAAGATCGTGTCAAGTGGAAGTTTAGGATAAGGGTGGCCGACCCCA